TTCTCCAAGTATAAGATGGGTTCGGGGCCAAGAGTAGCTCCAAAAACGTTTGTGATCGGGTAATATCTCGCTTTGAATATCTTGTTCAGGAGGTTGTTCGGGTTTTTTCAAAAGTCGTCCTAGTTGTTTCGCCAATAATGCTTTGTTAAAAGCTTCAAGTTCTCTAAAGCCCATTCCACCTTCAAACTTGCTCTTGCACATGGTTTCCCACTTTAACCAATGAACTCCGCTGTCTTCACTAGTAGAAAGTTTGCTTGTTACTACGATTTTTTTTGCTACGGCAAAAAACCGTAATAATAAAAGGTACTTTTTACTACGGAACAATTTTGAAGTTGTAGTAAATACTAGGATTTACCGTAGCAAAAAGAGTATTTGATACGATCATTTACCGTAGCAAAGCTTTTGTCACGCCCGTATATGCTACGGGGCAAATTTGTAGCAAATGTATAGCAAAAGCCTTATTAGTTCGAATTTGATACATTTTACAACTTGATACATTTTACTACGGTTAATGATCGTAATAAAAAACAATTTTTTTACTAGAGACTTTGGATTCTTCCCACCAGAATTTTGATATTTGACTGTCCAACTCTTGTTTGAATAATTGGGGAAGTTTAAAGCAACTCATCGCAAATGACGGAATAGCTTAAATAACCGCTTTGATTAAAATTTATTTCCCACCTTTTTTCTTTCCAATCTCGAAGTCGTGATAAAACACAATTGTATTCTTCTTTTTTTCTCGATGAGGCTTTTGTGTGGAAAATTTTTTTGTTCTTATCCTCTTCCCTTATCCAGTATGTTTTGGCTCGTTGTCTCCACATCATTTTTTCCTTGTCTATCAAATTATCCAAAACCTCAATCCTCCATGACTGGTTCCTAAGTGATTCGTTAGGATCTCCATAGAAGCCACTTAATCTCCAATTTATATTTAAAGTCATTAATAAAATATTCATATAACAAAAATTAGTAAAAACGATGAGGGTATAAATGTAAATAACAGTTGGTGTATAGCCTTGTCTTAAATTTGAGCTTCAATTTTAGTGTATAGGGCCGTACAAATTAGTGACCCAATAAACAAATACTATTCTATTCAGGGTTATAAGACCACGTCACCAGCTCAGAAAATATTATATTTTCAGATAATTGTTAATTGTAAATTACAACCGTCCCTAAGGTATATTGACGAAAAAACCATTCATGTTTTCATAATTACATCAAACCCTTGAAATTTGTAAATTTATTACATCAACACATTTTGCAGGGGGTGGATGCAAGATATTTTTTTTTGAGTAATTCAAGTCATTACAAGGGGAAGTAGGGGAGGGGGAGGATGCAAGATATTTACAAACTAAGAAGTTTGATATACTTTTTTTTTTTAAGGAATTATTTTTTTCGTAATTACACTTTACCTAAGGGAGGTGGTCGTAATTTAGGTTTATGAGGTTTCTCCCTTATAAATAATTATTTCATTACTGACAAAATAGTTGATTTATAAATTTCTCTTCGCAGAGGCATAATTTATTGCACAATTCGTCGATTCAGGTATGAAAATTTAATTATGTTGATTGATTTAAGAGTAAACTGCAAAAAGTACCCCTGTGTAATCTCTAAATAGCGAAAATTCCCTATGACAAATAAACTAGCAAAAATCCCCCTGTGAAATTATTTAAATAGCACACTCGGCCCATTTCTCTTTTGAGTGTTGACTTCATATAAAAAGACACAAATACCCCCGCGATTTTACAATTAATAAATTCTTATATTTTTTAAATATTTTAATTATTTTATTTTTGTTATATCTTAATTATAAAGGTACAATGGGGTATTTAATTTATTTTTATTTTTATTATCACATAATCTTTGTATATATTTTAAATTATCTCTACATCAAGAGAAAACTTAAATTCCATTATTATGTATTTAAAAAAATCTATACTTAATTTGATTAACAAATTTTTAATAATTTTTCAACTTAATTAGGTACTATTTTTTTAATAATATTTTAATTTTTAAACAATCAAATTAAAAAGAAAATATATGTACATATAATATATATACATATAAATACATTTTTAGGGTCAATTTCGTCATTTCACGTACAAAACCCAACTACCAGTCGCGCAACCCGCGAGTGAGACACAAGTAAGTCAACCGGGGGGTTTTTGCCTTTGTCTAAATTTCACAAGGGGTTTTTTGCTAGTTAATTTATCACAGAGGGGTTTTTGCTATTTGGAGATTACACATGGGTACTTTTGCAGTTTACTCATTGATTTAATCTCATCTGCTACATCTCAAATTTATTTCTGTTAATTCGAATTTATAAATCATTATTTCATCAAGAAAAATACTGAAACAATTATGCATATAGCACATTCATTAATTCTTGATTTATACAAATATATACATTTGTTTGCCTAGATTTCTTAATCTATTATTTTTCTTGCTGAAGATTTATTTTTTATTCTTTTTTTCGGTTGATAATCTGTCACAGGAAATATATATAATATGGTCCTTGAATGTTATAATTGGCTCCTTCAAATTTTTAATCAAATAATAATTGGTGATCATTTTGACAATAAGAAGTGGCTAAGGTTGACTTTGTCGTCGTGGTCAACGCATCAAATCAGAGATAGACCGCGGATTCTTCGCTATTTTTGTTATTACAATACTTTGCGGATTTCTATCATCGATGGCAAATCTGAACGGGAGTATAAGACGCAGTCGAGATATAGATATCATTGACGGTAATCCTGCAATTGCGAACGATGCTCTCCACTGGTACAACGACGAAATAATCATGGTGTTTAACATTATTACATAAGAGTTCTCGGTTGGACATCCTCCTATAAAAAGAAGCTCCCGGATGCAGAATCTTTACGTGAAAGACGATCAATTGTGTTATTGCCGCGTGAGTTCCGAAGAACCGTTGATGGATATATGGATTCTGGAGGACTATGAAAAGTGGACTTGGGTTAGAAAGTACGTCGTTAATCTCAATTGGGACATGAACAAGTTTCGCATGGAAACAAGTTTCGTTTCACTCTCGTGTATAATGGGCGACGTAAGAGTTATCAGCATTAGAAACAATGAGTTGGTGTTCATCTGGAAGCACCGAGGATTATTTTCGTATCATTTGAAATTGAATACCGTGGAGAAACTTCATTTGAGGAAGTCCGAAATGGATGGTTCGATCAGTAAATGTTATGATTTGATGTGTGGCTTTGAGGCTTATGCATAGTTTGGTTTGATTCATAGAATTATCGTTTATGTGTTTTCACACGGATATTGTTTTTTTCTTTTTTTTTTTCAATTTTTCTTTTAATGAATTGTGTTCTTTTAGTTTATGAAAAGAAAATCGTTTTTTTTTTCACATGGACGTAGCAAGCATTAATCTTTCATCAACAAACATCTTTAATTTAATCTCATGGCCATTCGAATAGACGTTGATAGGTGTCTTGCTACTTTCGAGATTGCCGATTTTTGGGTTTCGGTTTCAGTTTTCTTTTCGATTCGGTTTTGGTTCAGGGCCATTCGTATAGACGTTGACATGTGTCTTGAAAAAAAATTGAATTATTATTAAGTTCGAGGGTGTATATGTAACTTATTACAAATAAAAGGGGATATTTGTAATTTAGGCATACTTTAGAAGGTTATTTGCATTTTTAATTTTTCGACTTTTTCTCTTTTCTTTTTATTGAAGGAATGAAGGGCAATAAGACATTTTTTACGTGTCCTCTTAAAAACATTGACGTACAGATAACAAAAGGGGTTATTTCGTAATTTCATCTTAAGGTGATATTAAAAGTATAAAGTTCATACTTCATAGTGATCACGATTAGCTTTGTTCGACTCGATACATATATCCTTCATATGTCATGATTCTCGTCGATTCTTAGTGTACGGAGAAAAGAAGCCGATAAGTACAAGTCAATTCTTAGTGTACGGAGAAAAGAAGCTGATAAGTACGAGTATCGAGAAAAGAAGCCGATAAGTACGAGTCAATTCTTAGTGTACGGAGAAAAGAAGCCGATAAGTACGAGTATCACATGTAAGATGTACCTATCCGGAACCAAAATTTGGAGGAGGGCTATAAATCTATATTTTACCTACACATCGCAGAAACCCGACCCGTCAAGATGCCATTGATCGATCGTAATCCAACGATTGTGAATGATGCTCAAAATAATATATTCGATGTTTTTAGAACACTATACATTTGTTTATTTGCGACTGATGCAGTCAACAATAAATAAACTCCAATCACCCCAAAATAATCTCCGATGGGGTCAACAATAAATTTGAGAGAAAAAATGGAGATAATCTCTCTAAATGTGTAAGAATAATTGTGAATAATGAATTTCCTTAAATAATAATAATTAACCTTTTATATGCTAGATCAATTTAATTACAGGCTAAAAATATTTATTTGGACCTTGGCTTAATAGCTAGCCCATATACAAAGGCTGAAAATTAAACAAAATTACTCGATAGTCAAATCGATCCCATTCATTAAAAGATTTTCCGAACTCGATTAGTTTACACAATAGTCAAAAAGTCAAGTTACTTGAGTTCGATGCATGTTCGGCTCAATTAAGTCGATTGTTTATCAAACCAAAAGCTAAAACACAACTTCAAAAGCTAAACAAAAACTCAAACAAACTCGAAAAAAAATACGCTTCAGTTTGATTTCAGCTCATTTACAAATTGCAAACATGCGGATCGAATGAAAAACCACTTGCATTATTCAACAAATTATGAAGTTAAATTAACAAAGCAAGATGAGTTCAACTACCATACCTTGCCAACAACTTAAATAAATAATTATATATATATTTAGAGCTCAACAAACCAATTTTGAGATTTTTGTTTTTTAACCATCGGAAAAGATTCAAATTTCAAATAACAAACAAATAAGAAGCAACATAAGTAGAGAACCAATGATTAAAATCTATTGCATTATAAACATAAAAACATTTGAAACTACACCGTACGAGCGATTAGCAGTCGTCAATAGCCAAAATCAAGAAAATTCAAGACTCGGAATTTATAACGAAGACGAATGTCTCATAAATTACTCAAAAGATTGATTCAACAACATTATCCCTTAAACCACAAAAAAGTAAATAAAATTATCCAAAACAATCGAAATACTAGTAGTTACCCCTACGTAACGAACAAAAAATTATAGCCATTTTTAACTACCCACGCGCACACACACACACATCACGATTAATCCTCGAAGAAGAAAACAAATCAAAAAAATACCTTTCTTGATCGTCATTTCGCCGAACCTCTCTTCTTGCTTTTCCCATCCTTATTAACCTTGACAACACTTTCACTCGCTTTCTTGCTCTTATCCTTATTAACCTTGACAACACTTTCACTCGCTTTCGTGCTCTTCGTTCCCTCGTCTTTCGTCGGCTTCTTCGCTTTTTTCTTCACCGGTTTCTCTCCATTCAACACCACTAAAACATCTTCCTTCGAATCTTTCTTCACCTTGCTCCTTTTCTTCGCCTTCGGTTTATTTTCAACCTCATCGTCAATTTCCTCCATCAAATCCGCTTCTGATTTTTCCTCATCACCCTCCTTCTCTCCAACATCCATATAACGAACCTCGTGCATCCTCCCCTTCTTCCTCTTTCCACTTTTACCCTCCGTCTTCCCACTAACCACTTCCTTAACCTCCTCACCCTCGTGATCACTATTCTTCGCCGCTGCCACCTCAGCTCTCTTCTCACTCTCCTTCAAACCCTCGATTTTCAACTTCACGTCCGGCATCGCCTGATAAACAGGCAACGCAACCGAGTCGCTAAACTTCAAATGCAAACTCCTCACACCATCCCACTTCTTCGAAACCCTATCGACCGCCCCCTTAATCGCATCCAACACATTCTCGACAATCGCATCCTTGTCCATATCGACCCTACCGACTTTCGTCACCGAGCAAGTCCCGCTCCTCAGATACAAAAGGGCACTCCCCAAAGCAACCTCCACCTGCGCCTTCAAATTCTTCTTGCCCAAATCGACACCCAAAGGCAGCTTCTTCTTCTTGAAAAACTCCTTTCCGATCAGCTTCGGCAAGAAATGGACAATCCGTTTGTCGACGAGGAACATGTCGAAGCTGTCGCAGAGCTTCCTCTTCGCCTCGAATGGCTTGTAGTTGGTCTTCAGCTTCGAGAGCTTCACCACTTTCGAGATGGGTATGCACTGGGATTTGATTAGCTTCTTGATTTGCTCGGAGGGCGGGGTTGGGGTTTGCGGCCTGTCGTCGATGATTAGGCAGACCTGGGAATTTGGGTCGAGGGTTGGGTGGGTGAGCGGGATTTTGAAGGGCTTCGTGCTAGGGTTTGTTGGGATTTTTTTTAGGGTTAGGTTTAGGTAGATGTAGTCGTCTTGCGGGAGGAGCTGCAGCTTGTCGGAGGTGGCGGCGGCGGCGGCTTTGTGCTTCAGCAGGGCGGTTACGGCGGCGGTGATTGTTGATTGCTCCACCCTTGATGCGGTGATGGGAGCGGCGGCGGCGGCGGCGGTTTCGATGGTGGGAGCCATTGGAACCGAAGGGAGTGTGTGAGAGAGGGGAAAAACAGAAGAAGGCGGCTTACAGTGTGTGGGGTTTTAGGGAAGGAGATTTAGAGCTGAAATCAGTTTGACATATTATATTGGGCCGGGCCGAGAAATTATGGGCTCATAAAAGATGTTGTGTTGTCTTTATTATAATTCGTGTTTATGGTTATTTATTTATTAACTAGTAATTGTACCCGTGCGATGCACGGGACAACAAATTGCATTATTTTGATACCCGTGCGATGCACGGGACAACAAATTGCATTATTTTGATGTTGTAAGAATATAAACAAACGTTTAATGTATCGTATGATCAAAATTCTATTATAATCATTCATTAATAATTCATCAGTGGAACATTAATAAGTATACTACACACAAAAAAAAAGCAAATAAATTTACTGTTGAATAATTTCCCAAATGAATTGAATCAGCTAATACCAGTAGATTGGAAATTTGAACCAGGAAAAAAATCATCAACTATCTCTTTCATGTTGAGCTTAAAAGTAATTAGATTTAATAACTTAGTTAACATAATCAAAACTAAACTATCGACAACATACTATCGTAAAAAGCCATCTATACCTCTTGCATCGGAACTAAGCCCTTCTCCACTGCCTCGTTTTAGTCATGTTTTGCGATTGAAATTAACAATTGGAAAATTAAGAAACAAAAATAAATATAAACAATAAATTAAATATCGTATACAAAACAATAAGTCTTAAAGGTCGACTTCCAATAGCTTGTGGCTTCGCCCATTTTTTGTTAATTCTCTCAAATCATCATTTTCAATAACATGTCCAATAACATATAAAATGAAATAATTGTTATACATAACATTTGAAATCTTTGGTATAAATTAATGAACCACATAATTTAACAAAATGAAATTACTTATAAGCCATGATGGAAAAAGATGTAAACTAATTACCACACAGTGAATAGGATGATGAAGAAGAAAATAAGAAAAAAAATCTAAAGTCGGGTTACCAAAATAAGAAGCCTTAGGTAGGTAAGAAATAAAATTCAAATGTTGCAGACATTCTGTAAAACGATGTCAAAAAATTCGCTAGAGATGAAAATCAGATTTATTTACCCTTTTCTGTAAAAACCGAAAATCAGATTATTATAAATAATATTAGGAGCTAAAAATTTGATGAAAATCGATAATAATATTTAAAATAGTATTTAGGAGATAAAAAATTGATAAAAAATAAAAAAATAATATTTAGGAGATAAATATCTGATAAAAATCGAAAATAAAATTTAAATTAACAGTTAGGAGATAAAAATTTGATATAAATCGAAAATAATATTTCAAATAATGTTAATGAGATAAAAGTTGATAAAATACGAAAATAATAATTAGAATAATATTTAGGAGATAAAATATGATTACAATCAAAAATATTATTTAAAATAATACTTAGGAGATAAAAATTTGATACAAATCGAAAATAATATTTAGGAGACAAAAATCTGATAACAATCGAAAATACTATTTAGGAGATAAAAAACTAATAAAAACATGATAAAACTCGAAAAAAATATTTAAAATATTATTTAGGAGATATAAATTTGATAAAATTCGAAATTAATAATTAGGAGATAAAAATCTGCTAAAAGTTGAAAATTATATTTAAAATTATATTTAGGAGATAGAAAATTGATAAAATTAAAAATTATTATTTATACTAATATTTAGGAGATAAAAATTTGATAAAAATAAAAAATAATATTTAGGAGACAAAAATCTGATAAAAATAAAAAGTAATATTTAAAATAATATTTAGGGGATACAAATATGATACTATTCAAAAATAATATTCAAACTAATATTAAGGAGATAAAAATTTGATAAAAATTGAAAAAACAAAGTTACAAATATGACATTAGGGTTTCTTAGGGTTGACCTAGCATTTCTTTCTTTTATATATATAAGCTATCTAGGAGATAAAAATTTGATGAAAATCGATAATAATATTTAAAATAATAATTAGAAGATAAAAATTTGATAAAAAAAAATATAGTTAGGAGATAAAAATCGAAAATAAAATTTAAAATAATAGTTAGGAGATAAAAATGTGATAAAATCGAAAATAATATTTAAAATAATGTTAATGAGATTAAAGTTGATAAAATACGAAAACAATAATTAGAATAATATTTAGGAGATAAAATATGATTAAAATCAATAATATTATTTAAAATAATAATTAGGATAGTAAAATTTGATAAAAATCTAAATACTATTTAGGAGACAAAAAATCTGATAAAAATCGAAAATAATATTTAGGAGATAAAAAACCAATAAAAACATGATAAAACTCGAAACAAATATTTAAGATATTATTTATGAGATATAAATTTGATAAAATTCGAAGATAATATTTAGGAGATAAAAATCTGCTTAAAGGTGAAAATTATTTTTAAAATTATATTTTGGAGATAGAAATTTGATAAAATTAAAAATAGTATTTATAATAATATTTAGAAGATAAAAATTTGATAAACATAAAAAATAATATTTAGGAGACAAAATCTGATAAAAATAAAAAATAATATTTAAAATAATATTTAGGGGATACAAATATGATACAATTCGAAAATAATATTTAAAATAATATTAAGAAAATAAAAATTTGATAAAAATTGAAAAAACAAAATACAGATATGACATTATAATTTCTTAGGGTTGCCCTAGCGTTTCTTTCTTTTATATATAAGATATACGTTAGTTTAACACTTTAACCTATAATCTCAAACATTCGGGTAGGGTTGGTTTCTTGTGGGCACCAGGTTCGGGTCTTACTCTACCGGGTCGTTGAGTCACCATGATTTATATTTTTCCATTAAATACTTATTAGACCAAGGGATGGGGGATCTGGGAGCGAGAGATCTCGCCTTTTGGTATATGGTACAAGAACTTCGTTTACTTCATTACAATGGTGTGGAAAACGTATTTCCAAGAGCAGACTACATAGTCAGTTAATTGCCAATTACGTTCCCCAAAAGTTGCAGAGAGTAAGAGTTAGAAATGTAAACTACGCACAAAAATCACATCGGTTAGATCAACTCAAAAGTTTCCACAATACTAATTTCAATACTGAAATGCTAAATCCCACACGCATTTTACCAAATCATGTACACAACTGAAAATATTTATCTCTCTAAAATATTATCTTCTCCTTCTCTACATCTCTTTTTTTCTCTATTTTTTTCACAAAACCACACACTAAAAACGTCCCTAGCATTCCAAGTTCGAAATTGAGGAAAAAAATCTTCACGTGTCCATACCAAAATAAAATTGGAATTTAAGGGGAAAAAAATCTAATTGATATGAACTTGAGTAATTAAAAAGTCTTAATGAAATTGAATAAATATTAAATAAAATTGAACTCATTCTTTATGATTATTCACCAAAAAAATTAATGAATTTTGGGTGACATTGATAAAATTATCTTACAGAGAAGTTAGAAAAAATATGAGTAGAGAGAGATTTTTTTTTTTAATTTATGTGCGGGATTTGGTAAATTTTAGTGTGGGATTTAGCACGCCCCATTTCAATAAGTGTAGGATTAAATTTATTTTTTAATGTATAAATACTATAATACCCTTACTTGTTATAAAAAAAATCAAAATGATACAATAACTATAAATTAAAAAAACCACAAAAATTCTGTCACAAAATCACAAGACCAAACTCCCATCTTCTCCATCTTCCAAAATCTACCAAAACTTTTCTCCTTCCTCCTCCATAAATCCACAAAACCCTCAAAATTCAACAAACCTTACAAAGATGGCAAGTATGGAGTTAAAAGACATCAAAATGGAAGATTCTACATGGAAGAACTCAAGAAGATATGCATTTATGTGTTTTTTTAACTAGGCTATCGTTTTTTAAAAAAAAAAAAAGTTCCTCGCAAACGCGTTTCATATTTGCAGGTCGCAGTTTGTAGCCAAAAATCGACACTAAGATGTCGATATTTGGGCAACAAACTCGACATAACCAACATGACAATTTGGTTGCTCAAAATTCAACACTGCGGTCTCGATTTTTTCCAGCAAAATTCAACATATTCTTAATGTCGGTCTTTTGCGCTTTATTTCGAATCTTAAAGTGTCGAGTTTTAGCATATATTTTCGATACCTTGATGTCGATTATAACTAGTTTAATTTTTATTCCCTCTTAAATTTTTTTAAGGTTGAACAAAATAAGGAATTAGATCGCCCATGGAGTCATGGTTGTACTGTGAGCGGCGACGGTTGGTCAACAAGCTTGCGGCGGTGGTGCAGGTGCTTGGGCGACGGGGAAGGGTTTTTTAAAATTTTTTTTTTTTTGTTTTGCAAAATATTTGTTGCATTATTTGGTCTTGACTCTTGCATGAATGTTGGGGCTAATACCTAACACGCAAGTGCACCGCAAATAAGTAGTAAAAGTGGACTCGTGAGAGTTGGATGTCGATCCCACAGGGAATACTCAAATTATCTAATCCTAAGTACCAAATTCTAACAATTATGATTTTTATCCAGCCTACGCAAGTTTGTCAAATTAAATCAATTAAACTAATTAAGAAAACAAATAATCACGAGAAAATATCAATATAAAAACGGATTTAGGATTTTATCTTCCCCCTATGCGATAATTCATCACCCAATTAAACCTTTATCATGCAAGTTACGATTCCTGATTATTAACCCGAGACACAAAATTACTCATAACCCGTTGTCGCGTGTATTATGAGTCTATTATTCATAAACGATTCACTATATGTCTATGCAAACCTAGTATGAATAAAACATTAAATAACAAGTCTCGTAAACGGCTACCTAAGGTATTATCTATATGTCTACGATAATACATGCAATTAACACACTCATCCGGTGAAAACTACTCGAAGGCTCTTCTATCCTTGTTCTAATTATTAAAACGATATGTCGATTCAATTCTAACAATAACACATAGCAACATAAATTAGCTACGTTCATGCGCTAAATAAGATCAAAATAGAAGAAATAATCAAGGAATTTAAACTTGCATA